TATATATATAATTTGTTGTTGTATAGTTATGTGCTTATTTCACGATTTATGTATACTTAAGCAATTAGTAATAGTACAATAATGTCTTAAATGTTTCGTAACCAGTAATTCCAAATGCCACAGCAAAAGTTATCCCTCTTAGAGGTTGTTGTTGGAAAACTACATATGATATAGTGTGAGCTATACGGGAAAGTACAAAGGTTTGTATCAAAGTTTTGGCCAACCATGGTGAAGGTCCTGTTCCGAGCCAGAAGTAAGTGATTATGAACCAAGGGAGAACGTTTTCCAAATCGTTCAAGTGTGCTCTACGTACACGCTCCACATCTGGATCATTGTAAACAGCTTTGCCTTTACTTATGAAGACATCATCTTCTGGACTTGCCAGTACCTACAACAATTAATCATAATCAATTTCATTTTAGTTAATAAATTCTGACGTGACGTTAAAACAGTATATATAACTCTTCAAATTTTTTGAATGAAATGTTATTCTAAAGAGTGATGTCGCAGCACAGACTCTTGCATAACGCATAATGCATAAGCGAATTAACTAATCAGAATCTTTCCTCTCGTTCCATGGAAAAGAAGAATTTCGATTGGTTGATTCCTATGAAAATTGAATCAGTCTTGAAAAAAATGTCTCAATTTTCTTTAGAAATAAGATTTCACTCTTTCGAATAAGATCTAAAGGTTTTAGAGTATATAAAAATCTGTCCCTTTATTAATTTATAATTAAGAAAGAATATATATATAATGGTATGTTCAGACGAAAAAAATATTTCTGCAACTTTTAAGAATTTAAATATATTTGGATTATTTCCTGTTTCAAGTTTAGCGTTTAATAACAATCAGCCTCAAGATAAAAAGTATTTATAACAATTTAGAAACTCTTCTCATATACATAATAGATATTCTATTATCTATGGCACTTAATGAAAAAAATCATGGGCTTAATATGATTATTTTATCTGGAACGATTATTTTACTCACGTGTTTTCGTAATCGCTGTCGTGAAGTTAACGGCGCCATCACCAGCATTTTCAGAACCAAAATGCTACTCCAAAAGCCAAATACTTTGAGCACTTCTGAATTTATTTCGGACATTTTTCGTGAATTCCAAATCTTTTCTCAAACATATACTGATGATCTCTACCTCTTTTGAGCTGTACGCAGTTAGTAGAAATAAGATTACTCGTTAATGGTCACCACGCTTTCTATCTCACTTACCACACACACATACTTAAAACAGATATCTAATTCCTGACTATATATACATTGTATCGCGTGTCTAGTCCAGCAAGTTTGACGAGTAATGCTATTAATTTTCACATAATCAGCAAAATTTTAAACAATGTTGGAAAAAAGTAGGATTTTTTCTTTTTAGTTACATATTTATTCATTGAAGCGAAAAAATCTCACGAAATATTTTTTTATCTCATAGAACAGGTAAGATAATTATTTCGTCACATATGAAGCACAGGAAAACGCGCTCTCAAATGTATTAATCTGTTATAAAATTGGTATTTTAAATTGGTTTTAAAATACGATAATTTAAATATGTAACTTTAATATGTATGTATAATCAATTATCGAGTTTTTATATTTCGAAACTTTACACCTGGCAGACTTAATGCCTCAAAATTGCATAAAGTTTCTCTAGAAATAGCAAAATATTTAAGCTTTTAGCCCCGTTTGCAACCATCTGATTACATTTAAAGTAGAACACATTTTCAGATTTCGAAAGAAAAGTGGAAAAGGGTGATAAAATAAAAGCTTTACAAATACCAGCAAAATTAATGAAATTGGCAAAAATTACATTTAAATTGTAACATTGAATTCTCAATTTTACGAAATTACCAACCGAAAGAAAAATCACTTAGTTTTTTCCCAAGTAATATACTGGTATATTCAAGAGCCAAAGGTTAGAACATTTCGAGCAATCTGGAGCATCAGTTTGACCTAGCCAGACCTGTAGCAGGATTCTTTAAGGTCTTTACACAATAGAATCGCAATTCGTATAAGCTGTATAAAAAATTAACCAATCATAGTCGATTATTTTCGTTATATTCAACTGTGATTGGCCAATTTCTTATAAACTATGACTCTATTATATAACAGGCCTTAACGTCTTATCGATGATTGGGCCCAGAATATGGGCCCAGCAACTGTCTTATAATCTCCTCCATATCCTCGTGCTTGTCGCGGCTTCGTTTAGAAAACGCAGCAGCGTTGAAGAACGGATCACGTGTGATTGGTGTACATATTCGGGTCGATCAATCCGATTAGTCGCCACTCGCGAGTGGTTGCGTTCTCCACGTCGACTGGTCTCTCCACTCACCATCTGGCCAGTCATCTTTTAGAACACTCTCTTCGGTATACTCGCTCGATGGAAACTCTCCCGTTCACCACGCGATGTGATCTGCGAGGTGAACGTTCTAATATTACCGAGGAAGGTTCTCGAAACGGTTGCGTGTAACGTAATAAAAACGTGTCGCCGATGATAAAACTTCTCGACTGATTAATTCTACGATTTTAAATTAGTTCTTTTTCCCTCGTCGTTTTTAATTAAATGAAATTAATGCAATTTCTGAGCAAACAGGTCCGTACAGTATCTTGACATTCTAACAAGGATCGAATGAGAAATAATCGGGGCCAACCGAGGCGACGTTTCTCGCCGTATCGAAGTTATACATCTTGATCGGTTACTTGTTTTTTGTTTTTAACGGTGGAAAAAAAAAGCGGGATATCATTTATTATCTCCTTCACCCGTTCAAGTCTAAGTGATTACGATTTTTTAATTTAATTTAATCTTCTAGATTTGTTTTCGCACCGCGAAAAGTAATCGTCATTCCGTCACGCGCGCTTCCTCCGTCCGACGAATCTTTACTCTGCCCCGAAGTCCGAAGGTGGTTTTTAAATCGAGGAATTCCGAGCAATATACATCCAGCCGAGGAGAGCGAATGATCGGCGCGTGCGCGACCGTCGGATCGCTGACGCAAGGGAGTACGTCAGCTGTTTTGTTAGACTTTCGCGACGGATAGACGTGCGTGTGCGTCCGTCGCTGTCATCGCCGTCGTCGTCGCCGTCGAGAATACTGCCGTATCGTTGACTTGGAGGGGCATCTTTCTCTCGCGCAACTTTCCTCGTCGCACACGGCGACGGGCTCTCGCGCACCTTTGTTCACCGTCGTTCGCCGTACGCGCGCGTGAGAAGGACCGTGCGTGCGCGTTTCCGGGCGATTCTGCGTGCGACGGAGGAGTCGTGCGTTCGCGATTCGCGCGTGCCGTCATCGTCGCACGTCCATCGCGCTCACGCTCGGAGGATCCCTCTTTCGGTTCGACTGTTTTTCCCCGATTGATCCCGCGGGACCTCGGCCGTAGGTTTCACGCGTCGGAGACGCGTACGTCCTCGGACCGTGACTGCCTACCTAACGCGACAGGATCGGGACGTTCTCTCGCCCGCTCGCACAGTGATAGCTATATTGTGATACTTCGACAGAGAGAGACAGAGAGAGAGAGGAAGAGAGAGAGAAAGAGAGAGAAGAGAGAAGGAGGCGCGTAGAGCGAAGACATGGCACAGCCGACGAGCAGCGCGTTACGGGCGCTCGCCCTGGAGTACAAAAGCCTACAGGAGGAGCCCGTCGAAGGCTTCCGCGTCAAGCTGGTCAACGAGGACAACATGTTCGAGTGGGAAGTCGCGATCTTCGGACCGCCCGACACTCTCTACCAGGGCGGATATTTCAAGGTACCCCGCTGTACCCCCTCGGTGCTGTTTACGGTGTGCATATGTGCGCGCGTGTGTATTTACGCGAGTCGCGCCCGAGTATTTCGAGCGCGACGACGACGACACCGATATGGCGTTGGCTCCGCGTTTTCATACGCGCCTCGTCGCCTTCTTGGTTATGTTGCGCTTGTCCGCGCTTGCCTACGTCGCGTCCCGTTTTTCCCACTCCCGTCCGAGGCCGTGTTTAATCGGGCCGCTCGACGGAGAGGATTTCGTTCACAACCTCGAAAAACGGTCCTCCTTATCCGCGTTATCGTCAAATAAACAAAGGCTCTTTGTACGAGCTGCGCCTTTTAAATACGTCGCGTTGGCGACTTGGTACATACAATATATTATTTTACTTTTTATAGCGATAAAACGCGAATATAACGCGTAGGATACCTTAACTCGGCGCATAGCGTAACTTCACGTTATTGACTACCGTTTCGGTTTGCCATATCGTATAAATCCATACGTATACAAGTACAGAGCACGGATTCTATTCTCGGTAATGTGGTGTGGAATACTTATCGCCGTTGTGATATCGCCAACACGCATTCGCAACATGTACCTATTCCATTTTGCTAATACTGAAAATATCTGATATTGAAAAAGATAGAAAGTTTATATGAATTTGGCGTATGATTGATGGATGTTGTAGAATCGCAAAGATAACTGCAGTTAAATATTGAATTAAAAAAGCGTTAACGTTCGCACAGCTGAACCGTTTGTTATTTGTTGTTCATTCCTTTTGCGAACGATGCTAATTCGTTAATAATTATTAATATTTCGACTGCGGCAACTTTTAATTAGCTTGCGATTTATTCTTGGAGTCAAGGAAATAAATTTATATAATTTTCTATCTCATTTTGAGAAAACGAATTCTTGTGTTTTTTAATTAAAAACGGCAAAACGGTCTAAATGCGTAGATTGTTTACGTCGAGACTGCGCTTCTAAAAGCATTGTGGCTTATAATTTGCATTCTATTTTCATAAATCAGATATTTACATTTTCTGCTCTACACTAAAAATGAGTGATTTACTCGTCCGTTTAATCTTAAGAAATAAATATTTATCGAAACAAATTTAGATATTATCACAGATGTGCGGACAACTAAATTTGTGAGACGAGGTAAACGACAATGGTCTGTCAATCGACGCCTATAATTAAACTCGATAATGAAACGATTCGAATGATCCGTTTTTATCGTCGCCAAATGTTTGCACGTGCGACAATGCGGATTTCGCGTCGCCGCATTACAACTCGAACGCCTTGTTTCCTATCCTTGAGCCAATGTTTATCTCAGAAACTAAAGCGTTCCTCTGCCAAGTGAGAATTCTAACAATCACACGCAAGTCATTGAGACTACCTTGATGATACCGGTTGGTGACAACGCAGGCTTGGACTTCTATATTATCTTTCCCTCCCTTTTCTTACTTGCCGGAGATTGATTACCTCTCGCATTAGATATTCAATAAAGTTAGATAGGAAATGACAACGCTGATCACAGATAACGATTTGCCACTCTTTTTTGTTAGATTCGCAGTTCTGATTCGACATTCTGTCTCTTCTCTTAAAGAGTCGCATTTCAAAAATGTTACGTCCGTACCACGGTGAAAGACAAAAATGTGCGAAACGCGAATGCGCGCGCGAGGAAAAAGGTCGAAATGATTTTTCACTTCTGACGTCATGAAACCAGCGCCGATTGCGAGCAGCGAGGAGGCAAAAGGGGGGGG